TTCAGCTGTCTCTAACTATATGGCCCCACAGGGCCACCACTGATCCCTTGTCGAGCGGGCTGTGCCACTAGAGGAGTAGGGCCATTCTGAAACTGCTTCTAGTTCTCCCTAGGCACAGAGTTTGTGATGGCTTCCTGAGGAACAGGGAGAGGGCCAGCCAGAGCCATGTCCTTGATATGCCTGTTTGGACCTCTCTCCTCTCCTACCACATAAACCTTTTAGCTTTCTTACTCAGAGCCCATGCTCAGCCTGGCTATGACAGTATCTGGGGAGTTGTCGTCATTCTTTGCTTTGGGCTATATGAGCCTTCCAGTTCTGTCTCATTCTGTCCCAGATGCTGACCTGTTTGCAGGGTGGCAGTGGGTCTTTCTGCAGCTGACTTAATGCTCTAGTGAGAAAGTGTGCCAGTGATCGCTTCTAACAGAGGAGATAGCTTGGTCTCGGGGCTTGAGTTGAGAGGGATCTGGTCTGCAGGATCCAAGGGGAAGGGTCTTGAGCACTGGCTTTTGTGAGCTCCCGTGTCCTCTCCCCACACAGAGAGAAGGGGTTCAAGATCCAGTGGGTGGATGACACTCACGCCATCGGCATCTTTCCCTGCCAGGCCTCAGGTAAGGTGGCTTCCTGTTGGGCTCTGCTCCTTCTCTGGCCTCCATTGAGAGCAGAGGTGCCTGGGTCCCCTAGGTGGAGGGCCACCTATATCCAGGTCTAGACTACCTTCAACCCATGGGCTCGACTCTCAGCAAGCCCGAACCACAGTCTGGGTGCCGGGGGCTGTGGCCTGGGGAACGCTTTAGCCTTTCCTCTTTCTATTGGCACTTTCAGTACAGAAGTGTTAGGATCAGTGACATTTACTGAACAGGTGGCATGGGCCAAGCCTTAGGTCCTTCTCCAAACTGAAGAAAGGCATCAGGTGCTGTTGCCCTGGCTCACAGGCATTTGGCACAGGATGCAAGCAGGTGCCTTATCATTCATTCAGTCTTTATGTCAGCCTCAGTTGTGGGGTCCATTCCCCCTGCCCCCCAGAATGCTGGGGTTTAGGGTGGATTACAGGCCTCTCACTGTGGAAGCTAGAGCACCATGCAGCCTCCCCTTCAGCCATTGTCCCAAGCTGTCCCTGTCATTTCACTTAAATAAGACTCTCCCACCCATAACTGTGTGCACATCAGAGCTGGGAGTACCCTGCTTGGGTTTGGCCTGGCCCTTGTAAAGTCTGAAGCTGAGGATGGGGAGGAGCAGGGGGAGTGATGGGGAGGGAGGCCCTGGAAGGGAGGTAGGAAGAAAGGTCAAGTGGCCCCCGAGGACTACGGAAGAATAAGCTCTGACTAGGTATCTTAGATAAGGTTTTTATCGCCGCGATGGAACATCATCACCAAAAAGCAAGCTGGGGAGGAAAGGATTTATTTGGCTTACACTTCCACACTGCTGTTCATCACTGAAGAAAGTCAGGACAGGAACTCAAACAGGGCAGGAACCTGGAGGCAGGAGCTGGTGCAGAGGCCATGGGGGGGGGGGTGCTCCTTATTGGCTTGATCAGCCTGCTTTCTTATAGAAGCCAGGACCACCAGCCCAGGGATGGCACCACCCACCATGGGCTGGACCCTCCCCCGATGATCACTAATTCAGAAAATGCCTTACAGCTGGATCTCAGGGAGGCATTTCCTCAGCTGAGGTTCCTTCCTCTCTGACTCTAGCTTGTGTCAAGCTGATGCAGAACCAGCCAGTACACTGGGGTACTGCCTCCTGGGCCTGCCATAAATAGTATAGCAAGAGCTTATCATGCCCTGGCCTCGGTTTCTTTGTCCAGATCACACATCTGCTATGTCCTGGTGTCAGATGCGCCTTAGCTCAGTGTGGTGGTGCAGGGGGTACTGGAGTCCCTGGGGGTCTTGGGGGATAGAAGGAGAGTCTGCTCTAAGTTCTGACTTTCGTAGGTAGAGCCTGCATATCTTGCTGTGAGTATCTGAACACTGGGCTGGGACATCATCTGTCAGCACAGACAGTGCCCACTGTGCAGTTCCTTAGGGATCTGGGCACAAGGTGACACTGTCGTCACCTTTACTGAGGTAGATCGGGCCGAGCAGCTGGGACTGGGATGTATAGAGTGGCTGTGGCAGTTTGGGACAATGCTAGTACTCCAGACCCCTGGGGTGGGCGGTTCACATAGCACAAGCATCACCCCAGATCTCCTCTTCTTTCTCCAGCTGCTGAGGCCCTGGCCAAGGATTTCTCCATGCTCAAGATCCGGCCGCTCACACAGGGAACCAAGCAGTCGAAGCTCAAAGCCTTGCAGAGGCCAAGTAAGGGAAGCCTGTCCCTCCACGGGGAGGCTGTGTGTGCATTTGTGTTTGGTTTGTTTTCCCTTCTTTATTTCCCTGCTCTTCAAGAGCCTGGGCTATAGTAGCTAACAGGGCTCAGCATCCCTTAGGCCCGGAGAAGGCCTAGGGTCAGGTACCATGTGTGTTTGTCCTCCCACTCATGCCTTCCTATGGTCACTGATCTAGGAAAAGCCCCACTTCCTTCCAGAGGGCCATGAAGACTGTCCTCCGGAAGGGTAAAAAGTTCTTGGGCCTTGGGATGAGCCCTAGATGGGACCTTGGTTCTGTGACTTACCTCACCTGTACAGGAGCCGGATGCCAACTGTGAGCTCCCTCCATTTCCTCTTCCAGAAAGCATGGTGCTCGAAGAGGAGCAAAGTTGGAACCAGCAGAATGGGCCCAAGGGAGGTCTACCAAAGCTATTCATGCCATTGTGAATGCTGACATGGCCTTGTCCTAGGCTTCTTAGAAACAATATCCCGTTTTTATGTCCAATGATCCAGGTGTCCTCTCCTGAGTGTTTCCTTCCTAAGGGCCTCACAGAGCAAGGAGATGCTGGGGTAGTTCCTCCTCATCCCTACCGTATGATGAACCAGGTTGACAGGAAGGGTCAGTTTGTGTCAGGTCCCACAGGGAGGCAGAAATACAGGCGTGGGGCCCTCTCACAGGCACCCCTGGCTGCTGTAGGGCTCCAGTTCTGCTCCATACCATTAGACATGGGCTGACCCTCATCTGGCTTTCAAGGCTGCTCTGTCTGTCACCCAGAGGAGAGACATCCCTGGCCTCGAATCCAAGTCCCACCCCCTGACTCTTCCTTTCAGAGCTCCTGCAGCTAGCGAAGGAGAGGCCACAGACAGATTCGGCGGTGGCCCGCAGGCTGGTGGCCCGGGCCTTGGGACTCCAACACAACAGAAGGAAAGAGCTGCCTGCTGCCCCGAGTCTCCTGCCATCTTGAGGCCCCACAGCCAGCTGTCCAGACTAGGCTGGGCCCCAACCATGCTTTCAATGACCCAAGGACAGCCCTTTGCCCCCGCTGGAGCTGCTGTAGGGCACGGTAGGCTTTTGTTGAGCTGGTCCCAGAAATTGAGAAGAAATAAAAATTTAATGTTGTGTTGATTGCATCCAAGTGTGGTCTTGAGGGACACTAGAGGGTGCTGTTCCATCTCTTACCGTGGGCCCGTAGTTACTGAGCATCAGGTCACCTTGCCTAGAGGTCCCATCTTCACTTCAGGGGCATTTGTGCACAGGTGGCCGTGTTTGGGGAGTACGTGGTACTTGCTCCATGTCACTTGCCCAGTATCCCCGTTTCAGCAACCCCAGCTTGCCATCTTCTGTGGGCAACTGTGCACAGCTGTGCACAGCTGTGGGTGTAGCAGTGCTGAGGCGTTATTTGCAGATGTGGATCACAAAAGGGCTCCTTCTAAGTAAGCTCGAACAAAGCCAAGAGGTGCGACTTGAGTGCATGCCAGGTGTCCCCTCAGAAATGGACCCAGGGCATCCTTGTAGGATGGGAGAGTGCTCGCCTCTCTGAGTCTTGGGTGTAGTATTGGAAGCCCACTCTGGAGATTGGGGTCCCTGTTGATCTCAGGTTTGCTGGGGTCAACACACTCATAACACAGGATTGCTTATGGAGGACAGGAGCCCTGCTCTGCCAGTGCCCACTCTCCCCTGGGAAGCTGCCCTGTGGCTAGCTGTCCTGCCTGTTTCTGACACACTGCTGTGTCCTTCCCCAAGTTCCAGTGAGTAGCAGCTGTTGAAGACAGGCCACAGCTGACCTCAGCTGCTGCTCGGGTCTCTCCAATTGCTTCTCAGAGCTGCAGCCTGTACTGATAGAGCCCTCCAGATCACAGGGAACTTTGGAAGGACATAGGGACCATTCCTGAAAGTGTAAGATGAAATATGTATGGCACTCCTAGAAGTAGGAAGCTTTGGGCCCAAGGGCAGTGGTTGGAAGGAAACCTAGGTACAAAGAAGAAACTTTCACTCCAACCTACAAGTATGTATGTGTGGTGAGGTAGGTTTGATGGGTATCACCTAGAATCCAGTTGATAGCAGAATTGATAATTTAGGACCGACATTGTCTCACTAGCCCAGGAACATGGAGCCAGCTGACAGTGGACTGAACCATGAGCCCAACTGAACACTTTCCTTCCTTGTACATTGTTTCTCTCGGGTACGATCACAGCAACAATAGTTACAGAGGTATAGAAAAGAAAAAAATGGTATTATATATATTAGGGCTGTGTGATGGCTATCTTTTAGCATCAACTTGACTGGATCTAGAGTCCCATGGGAGACACATTTCCAAATGAGGAGGGAAGACCCACCCTGAACACAGGTAACACCATCCCCTGCCTTGGGGTCCTAGGCTGAAGGGGGAAACTCATGTGAGTGTTGGCCTTCTCTTTTCCTGGCCCACTGAGATGTGAGCAAGCAGCTCCCTGCGCCTCTTGTCATAGCTTCAAACTGCACCTGCCCTGAAACCACGCGCCTAAATCCTTGCTCCCCTAAGTCCCTCTTGTTGGGTATATGGTTGCAGCAACAAGCAGGGTACCACAAGTCGGATCTGTCATTAGCGGTGCTGCAGGAGACTGCACCATCTACAGCAGCCCTGAGGTCCCCTTCCCCCTTAGAGACCTCTGGGTCCTTGACTTTGCTGCAGAGAAGAAACTTCAGACGAGCCAGAAAGAAGCAGAGTTAAAGTTTATTTAAAATATTTTAAATATAAATTTAAGTTACAGGGAATAAGAGGTGCTCAGGGAAAGAGTAAGGCCCACCTGAGAGCTGGGTGGGGGCTTCTCAAAGGGCAGTGGTTCCTACGTGTCTTAGGAACTAGCTCTACACAGGGGTTTGGAAGCCTTTGGTATTATCGATGGGTTTCTAAGTCCCACTCCTAACCTCTTCCCCTCTTGATAATGAGATTATAGGGTAGCTCCAGAGGTGTCTTGGGATAGGACTGTACCCTGATAAGGTGAAACCATGGGTCGTGAGGCCAGCACAAGGGTCTTGAGATTTCTGGTAAAGTTCTTGGGAATTGTAGGTTTACAGCTGAGACAGGAGAAAGGCCATTTATACGTCATAATTCCTTGCTATTTTAACGTTCCTACTTGAAAGATCTCTATGTAAAATGTATATTGTTTCTATACTAGCACCAGTCACAATGTTATCTGTGCCAGCACTGTCAGCTGGCAAGAGCTTCAGCCAGACTTGGAGGTGAAGGGCCCCTCCCATGTCCCCACGATTTTCTCTTCCTGTCCTGTGGCAGAACCATCCAAATCTTCAGTCATCCCCCTTGGAGTCTTGGAATGCATGTCTTGCTACTGTACTTTAAAGTGTGGCTTTAACTGCCTGGAATACAGAAGTTGGTTTAACTGGAAGAGGTCGTGATTGGTAACCTCGATAGTCACCTGGACGGGATTACAACCACCTGGGAAACACCTTTGGGTGGGTCTCTGAGCGTGCTTCCCGAAGAGGTTTAGTGGAAGAGGGAAGGCCCATGTTAACACTAGTAGCACCATTCCTCGGGCCCGGGTTGGAGGCGGAATACTAAGGCGAAAGCAAATGAAGCACCAGCATTCACCAATCTGCTTCCTGACCGTGGCCACCGTGTGACCCCTGCCCTCTGCACCTGCCACCATGCCTCTCCAACTAGGATGGACTGTACTCTGAACTCTAAGCCCACAGTGACCCTCCCTTAGCTTGCTCTTGTCAAGCATTTTGTCGCAGTAATGAGAAAAGTGACGAATACAAGATTAGTATTGGCCACGGAGTTCTTGGGCTTTGAGAATAGGTTTTAGGGAGGAATCTGGAAGAGTTTGGAATTCTGGGCCCAAAAAGCCTTAGAGTGCTGAGAACAGAGCTGAATGGGCTATTCTGGTGGGAGTTTGGAAGACCAGAATGCCAAGAGAAAGGTGGACATTGGAGGCCTGGTGCCTGAGGTTTCAGTGGGGCCCTGGAGTATTGGGCTATCTGGAACTGAGTTATACCCTGGCAATAATCCAGCTGTATCCTGCCTGTTTTCTGAGCACTCGAGTGGGTTTTAAGAGCAATGGACTAATTTCTTTGGCAGGGGACGTTTTAAGACGGGCTAGCATTCAGGCTGTGGTATGTATGGTTCTGCCCACTGCTCTTATTTAGGCCCACAGTTAAAAAAAAAAGATGAGCAGGTGGAGCAGAAAGATACAGAAAAATGTGCAGTTTGGCAAGGAGAAGAACACGCTCATGTTTAAAGCAGCTGAGAAAGGTGGGTGCTGAAAACGCAGCTCTAATTGTTAAAGAGCACATTGCCTTACATGTATGAAGTCCTGGGTTTCATCCCCAGCACTCTGGGGGTAGAAACAGGAGGATCAGAAGTTCAAGGTCATCCTCAGCTAGATAGTGAGTTTGAAACCAGACACTGTAAGCTTCCCTGCAGTGCCCTTTCTGCCACGACAACGCACTGGGTCCTCAAACCACGAGCCCAAATAGAGCCTTCCTTCCTCAAGTTGATTTGGTCAAGAAGTTTGTACAATGAGAGAAAAAAAAAAAACACTTAATACAGAGGTCTTCATATTCAAGTTTTCCAGAAATGACCTAAGAAGGGGAAAATGGAAGCCGGCTTGACCACCTCCGCAGTTACGTGGTTCACACCTGCCACATCTCCAGAAGAAAATGGGCCATCTATGCAGAGCGTGGTGATGTCACACTATGGATATGCCAAAACTTGGATGGGATAACCTGCTCATAGCTTGCCTTCCAGTTCCCATAGCCACGTGCCAAAGCCCCTGCCCCTGAGGCCTCAGGACAGGGACACGCAGCCGTGCCTGGTGAATGAAGGAGCACCTTTCTTCTCAGCCGGAGCTGGCTAGTCGGGAGATGGCAACTGGTAATCCGGCCAGGAGACACTGTCACCTGAACTCAGTAGGTGACCATGAAGTCATTTTTCTTTTCTTCCTTTCTTTTGTCTTTTTTCTTTTCTTTCTTTTTTTTTTTCTTTTTTTGTTGAGACTGAAGTTCGATCTAATGTCCGGAGTGGAAATCTCGTGGCAATCCTCCCGCCTTGACCTGAGTGCAGGGATAGCAGGCATGAGCCGTCATGCCTGGCCCAGGGTCTTCTTTACTGCACAGATAGCTGATTATTTAGAAGTCCACTGAAGTGTTCAAACTTCTGTTCCGTCTCCTCACTGAAGGCGCCACCTGGAGAGCAGGCGTCAAGGAGACAGAATTAGGTACAGGCTCAGTGGTGACCCCAGTGAGCCTCCCCCAGGGTGGCACTAGTGAGCTCTCGAGCCAGGAACTCGGCAGGTACTGTGCCAAACTTAGGGTGTTTAAACAGACATTGCCACCAGGACTGAGGCCTGACGTATGCCAACAGAGGCAAAAACTGCTTTCCTTCTTGTTCCCCAAGAGAAAAACTCATCATTGGTGACAAGGCAGGAGAGTGCTTAGCAGCAAAACCCAATACACAGAGCCCATGAACTGAGGCCTACATAGTTGAGGTCACAGGAACAGTGGACTGATGGCCTTAGCTCCAGCCCTCATATAGACCTAGGCTCTGCTCTTGCTAGGCCGGCCCGTTCTGCACCAGCCTCTCTCCTTGGCCAGGACTGGCTGTGAATACCCAATCCCCACCCAGGGCTTCCTGCATCTCTGGCTTTCTTTCTGAATGAGGAATCTGAACTGGGAGACTCTCAGTGTCTCCCAGATTAGCTGCCTCTGGTTCCTGGGGAAAGTAGGGCAGCTGTGTCCTGTGTCTTCAGCACCCTGAGGAGGGCGGGGCCACCGAGGGAACGTACCCACGTGACAGTTGTACATCCAGATGCGGTAGCCATCGTAGCGGCTCCTGCACTTCATGATGTTGTTGGAGAAATCCGATTCTGGCACCTCATAGTTGGGGTTAATGACAACCTGGAGGGAATCAAGTCAGAGAACATTGCAACTCCCTTGCTGGCCATCCTCCACGCCAGAGCAGAGTCTGCGTGCCTTTAATAATATGGCTGGGTCTTCCCTAAGAGACGCTGTGCAAACTGAGGTCATCTGGGTCTGATGCTGTATCCTGGCGTGGTAGGGGCTACTCTGGAAAGCCTGTGTCTGGCCTGCTAACCACAACCTACCCAGGCCATGTGCCGTGTGGCTCTGTCCATCCAGACAAACTGGTAAATGTCCCTCTCTGGGGTGGCCTGATTTTTCTTTGATTTCTCTTCTCCCTAAGTCCTGCTGTCCCCTCAGCCCCACTCACTCAACATGGGGATGGATAGCACTTCCTACACTAAGGTCCAGACAGTTCCCTGCCCATTCTAGTATCCCTGAAGCATGAACATGAGTGCATCCAATTGCAACCTGGGCTCAAGTCAGGTTCTCAGGGTGGGTGTGGCCCACACAGGAGCAAGGCTAGGATGAATTGTGTGGTCTCCACAGTCCTCCCCACCCTCACAACCAAGCTTCCAAAACATAGGAGCATATAAGGGAAGTGGATTGAGGTCTCTGTATCTGGAGGGGACAAAGCAAGGACCCCCGAAACCCATCTGCCCACCCATCCCTGCCTCTGAGTCTGTGCACCCCTGGTCACTTCCTCCCTTTGGGAGTCCTCTTCCGATCTCTGTTGTCTGTCACACAGTAAGCTCTGTTGTCTGTCACAGAGTCTAGCTCTTGCGTATTGGTGACTTACAGTCCAGGGCATCCAGAGTTATGTGTCATTAGAATCACTGGCATAGTCCCAACTCTACCCATCTGTTGATTGTACCGCTTAGGGGACAAGAACACCACACAGAGACCTGTGTGGCCTGCATTTGCCTAGCTATGACATAAGGATACTAATAGTGTCCCTTTACTGAGAGAGTCAATGGGTTGATACACTTCCTGGCTAGAGGCCAGTCTGGGCCACCAGAGACCTTTAAACACTTTTAGCAGATATGATGATACACACATTCACTCTGCTGAATAACAGCAAGTCGCCAGTATGAGCCACCAGGCACTGCATACATGTCCACAGCCATGAAAGTCCACCTTTAAATAAGAGCGCTCAGCTCTCAGGCCCGTTGTGGTTCTGGGCTTGGCTTGTGGCTAGAAAGTGCTTGGCTGTCTCCTTTTCAAAGCTGAAAGGGCCCAGGGACCCTTTCAAAGCACCCTGCGGTTACTTCTCTGCAGGTGTTGGCTCTTCAAGGGAGTGTCTAGCAGTAGAGACTGTGGGCTAGACCGTGGGCTGGCTGAATTCCCCACGAGGAATGGAGGAATGCTTTCAAGGCAGCAGAATCCATTTCTGGTCACACAGTTTGCCATCCCACTGGGCAAGCTGGGACACGCAACACCATGGGGCTATGTGGAAGCGAAGTCTCTGGAGGCAGGAATGCAGCCAGGTGCCAGGAGAAAACTGGGAGACAGTGTTTCTCTCCCCTGCCACGTGGGCCTGGCTGGAGTACACCATAACTGTCTGCAGGAAGGCGGAAGCCAAGGCTCCCTGGCTCTTCCTCGGGGCAGGGTTGTTGGGAGCCCTCACAAAGCAGTTCCCTGGCCAGGCTGTCCTTAGATTGACTTTCTAGCCTGACGGATTCGCTGATGGGCATGGAGATGGCCCTTTTGCAGATCCTCCTGAGGAAGGAACATCGCAAAGTTGCAGCATAACGCAGCTGCTTTCGACCTCAGTAGAACACACCAAAGCAAGGTGTGAAAAGCAGAGGAAATCGGGATGGTGGCTGAGGGGGAGCTGGAGATGTGGGTTGCCTCAGAGTTCATGGAACTGATTCCTGACTCACCATCTAAATTAGCTCAGAGATAGGTTTTGATTTCAAGCTCCGGAGGTTAACTGAATTATATATGACTGTCTCTACATCTTGGGTTGCACTATGGGCTCCCAACATGCCCTGCAGACCCAGTATCCCTCAGGCCCATGTGCCTCAGGTATGATGCTTGTCGGATAGGATGGCCTCTGATTGTGGCACCCTGCCTGGACTCATGAGTTTTGCTTCTGGACACCCACAGGAAGGAGACCGAGGAATTCGCTTCTCTTCAAGCAGCCCTGGGTTTTCCCCACCTCACCTGGAAGAGGTAGTCTCCAGGGGGCACGTCGGTGATGTCTATCCACTGGCAGTCAATGTCATGACGGTACATATCCCAGCAGCCCATGGTGATGCCTTGTTCCCCGAAGTTGGCACACTCGTAACTCTTTTGAATGTCTGTGGGTGGGCAGAGAAGAGCATCGCCATGCACCTATGGTCCCCACCTCACCCATTCCAGCCAACCAAGCCTCCCAGCCTCGTTCCATTCCATCCTTCCCATGGGGGTTTCCAATGCCTTTTCATTTCAACAGAACCCTCTCGCTCAATTTCCTGTCTACACACCAGCCTTCCCTCCAAGCCAGGCTCAAGGTCCTCTCTGCCACAAAGTGCTCCCTGGCCAATCTGGATGAGGCTGGCATTCCTGTAAACTCCTCAGCCTGGGGTAGGGATGAGTGTCGTGGTGATCTGAGACATTGGTCCCTCACAGATGGTCTGCTCACAGTACTCATTCACAACCTCTTTTCTATGTGATTTTATGATGTCAAGAGTGGGCTACGCCAGGGTCTAGAACCTCATGTGGGCCATAGGCAGAGGACGGATATCTGTCCTGAAAAGGTCCTTCGTGGGTCAGAGTGGCAGGTGTCCTGTCAGGCCATCACAGAAAGGTGTGATGACCTACCCGAGGTAGAAGCAGAATATGTGCATGAGGGTCAGAGAGAAAAGATGGGAACATCTCAGGGCCCTATAGCCTGAAAGGGGAGAGTTTGATATTGGGATACCAGGAGGCATGGCCTGTGACAAGCAGAGAGGCAGAGGCATGAGTCAGGCTCAAGTGACCAGACCTCACCTGGAAGCCATGCAGCCCTCTGTCCACCAGTTAGAACAGCCCTGGGGACAGACAACTTGAGAACCACTTTCCCCAGCCCCAATGTGTACCCATCGAAGGCCCCAAGAGTTGGCTAATAAAGGCCACATGGATACCCAGCAGTGGCCAGAGTAACATGGAGAGGTACCTGGCCTAGCCTCCATCCACCCGGACTGGGTTCAATCCGGTGGGAGTGTTTGAAGTTCCGTGAAGCCCCAACCTCCCCCTGCAAACATACCTCCCTCACACTCTGTGTCCTCCAAGCAGAAGCTGGCTTTGTGACCCTCAGCCACCTTGGTGCCGTTGAGGCTCAGCAGGTCATAGTAGGTGAACACTTCCATGCTGTGGTAGTGCCTGGGAGCCAGAAACAGGGCCCAATGTCAGTGTCTAGAACCATGGCTGCCTGGAAGCAGCTTCCTAGCTGGTGATTGGCTCCTGGGAGAACCTTGAGGCAGCGGGGGCCAAGGGTGGCGGGGAGAGAAATGAAGAAAGAACTAAGAGAGAAGGGAAGACTGTGACTTGGAGCAGAGGTGTCAGATGTCTTGCCACGCCTTGATCCCCTCATCAGGAGTGGGGGTGACATAACTTAATGGGTAGGATGTTGGGGGTATCGGTGTGTCCAGCTGACAGCAGAGTGTCTGGCAATTTAATCAGCCCAATACAACAAGCTTTTTAATAGGTAGGGTCCTTCCTGAGTGCCCAGTTGGCTCTCAGCCCACTCTCACATGGAGTCTTTCTCCAGATTCGAAATAGGTCTAACAAACACCCATGTTATTAAAAGCTTCTTTGCTGGGGGGGGGGCGCCATTGGGGCATTATAGACTATTTGGAGGCGAAGCCTGTGAGAATCTTAGGTGATGGGGAACAACAGGCCCTAAAAGGGATTTCAGGACCATAGTCCCTTTCTTTCTCTGCTTCCTGGTTTCGGGTGTGTTTGCTCCTATGCACATCCCCACACAGAGGTGCTACCATTTGCTACCCTTGGATACCATGGCTTTGAACCTTCCAAACTATGAGCTAAACAAACCTTCATAAATTAGTTTTTTTATTGGCATTTTTTAAATATTTATTTATTTATCATGAATACAATATTCTGTTTGTGTGTATGCTAGCAGACGAGAAGAGGGCACCAGGCCCCATTACAGATGGTTGTGAGCCACCATGTAGTTGCTGGGAATTGAACTCAGGACCATTGGAAGAGCAGGCAATGCTCTTAACCTCTGAGCCACCTCTCCAGCCCCTTATTGGCATTTTTTAAAACTAGTATAAACCTATTACAACAGACTAATTTTTAAGATTAGGAATAGAGAAGGAAAAATGACAAAGGGCAGCAATCACAGGGAAATAAGAGTCACTAAGAAATAGGGTGTGTGCCAGAGAAGGACACACATGTACCCTAGTGACGTGTGAGCACTCTGGTGTGGGAGAGGAGGCCTGGGCTTGGCCCGAGAGCCCTGGGAAAGGAGCAGCAAGCCCGTGGTCCTCAAACTGAGCAAATCAGACAGGAAGGGGAAGGATAAGGGGCTAGAAGGTTTCCAGGATGGAGAGTGGGTGGTCCGCGGGGAGGGACATGAGAGCAGCTCAGGAAAGAGCATCGCTAGAGCTCTGGAAGGGAGTCAGCTGAGGCAGTGCGCGCACAAGCCGGGTGCAGTTCCCTTGGCTGATTGTTTACAACGGTCCACGCCATCACTTGAGAGAAATTGAGAACAGATGTGCTAAAGAGTGACGCATTCTGGTTCAGGAATAACAAGGGAAGCTGTGCTACTGAGGGTGGCCGAGGGGCTTTCAAAAGCATCCATTATGCAGGCCTAGGACAAAAGAGACCAGGCTGGCTTTAGCCTCATCTCCACCTGCCGTGTGTGTGTGTGTGTGTGTGTGTGTGTGTGTGTGTGTGTGCGTGCGCGCGCGCGTGTGTGCGTGTGTGTGTGTGTGTGTGTGTGTGTGTGTGTGGTACCTTCAACTATTCTATTACACTCATCTCCTATTCTGGGGACATTTAGTGTAGGAAGCCTCTTAAGACCACTGTGGGGGGAAGCCCTAACTTTGTTCATGCCCAGCCCAAGCTTCCTCTTTGGTAGAGCAAGAATATCATTGCCAACTTCTGGGTGATGTAAGGTCCAAATAAGATAAATGGCGTAGAGCTGGGGATGCTGCTCAGTTGTTAGAGCGCTGGCCTAGCACGCAGGTTGGGTCCCCAGTACCACATAAACAGGCATGGTGGCCTGTGAACCCGGCACGGAGGAAGTGGAGGTAAGGGCATCGGAAGCTAATGGTCATCCTCAGTCAGATAAGTGAGTTTGAGCCAACACAGGTACAGGAGAACCCGTCTCAAAATAAATAAATAAATAAATAAATAAAAGGACAGCCAAATGAAGCTGTAACAAAGGATGTTTTCAGTATTGGCCGAAGGCCTTATCGTGGCTCCGCCTATCCGCAGTCACAGCTGCGGTATTCAGGGCTCCTGGGGTCCTGTCACCAGCTGGCCCATTGGTGTAGCAGTCTGGAGCTTCCTCCACCATGTGAGCAGGAGAGGAGAGGGCAATGGAAAGGGTTTCCAGAGAGGAAATTAGAGGCTCTTTTCTTCCTCCCGAGTTTGTTCACGCTATATAAATAATGTCAGAAGTTGCTAACTTGGGCTCCCCCAGGTCATTCATGTTTCTGGGTAAAATGGAACTGGGCCAGGGCCAGCGGACAGCCCTTACAAGGAACATTTTGTAGCAGATGAAGTGATGACTCCGAGGGAGTCTATTTTGGCTCCCTGCAGGGAGCGGATGAGACATGAGGTCTGACTCACGGAATGAAAAATGTCTGCTCCCTCAGAGAGGGGCTTATGTGACTTGCCGACCGGCTGGAAAGATCGCAGGGAAGTACACTGATGTCCCGTTGTCTAAACAGAATTCAGACGGTGCCACAGACGGGCTGTTGTGAAGTGGCCTCCCGGAGTCAGAGCTGCTTCAGTCTAGATTTTAGTCTACTTTAGCTTCGGTTTTCTTCCTGGGAATGCGTACTGGGAGGAAGCCTGGGCTTTGTGCTTTTCTGCTTCTTGCTGATCTCTGTCCTGGAGCGTGTCTGCTTTATCTCTTAGATACGATACTCTTAGAGGCCACAGGTCTCTCCTAGCTGGTCTGAGGTAGAAATGAGAGCCATCTAACCTCCCATAGGCCTCCACCCAGGAGACACTGATGGGTACTGGGAAGGCAAGAGGGAAAGTCTTGGGCAACACAGTGGTCCTCTTAGCAGCTCATAGTCTAAGGGTGGACTGAACCCTGGGGTGGGCACCGGAAATTGCAGGCTTGAGAAGAGATAGCAGAATACTAAAAACGGGAGCGTGGCATTGTGCTTTATAGCATTCTTATATTTGTATGTTTGATTTCCCCTCCTGTGGTGCTGGGAATACTAACAGCTCTACTGAGCTACACCACTGGCCCTCGTTTCCCTTGAGACAGGGACAGAGTGGTTCAGGTTGGCCGCAGACTCACTATGTGGCCCCAAATTCATTATCCTGCCTACGGAACACTGAGATTACAGGCAAAGGCTGCCAATACAGCTTTTTGAAGTCCTTGTAATCTGGATAAAAAGAAAGTTGACCATTACTGTGGGGTTCCAGGGCTGTGTGTCCTGAGACCTGGCACTCCCCCGGAGATGTCCTGCTGGATGGCAGTGTAGACGGAAGACAGACACAGTGTGTTCAGAGGAAACTGTACATGTCTTGATGGACTGTCACTATAGATCGAAGAAGATGTACTTGGGTGTTTTGCAGTCCTATTAAGGACAGCCATAAAAGACAGGTGTCCTTCTGCGGAATCTAGCTCATCATCCTACTGAATGGAGAGATGAGGGCCTCTAGATGGTTCAGGGGGCATCATTACATCTGTGAGTTCTGACCCTGTAGGAACTGCTAGGCACATGATGGAGGCAGGCTGGAGGGGCTGACACTCCCCTCTTTGCAACTGTGCCATTCCTGAATCCAGGGGCTATCACCTGCGCAGGGACCCATGCCCCTGCTCCCCCAGCTCTCTCCACTCCATCCCACTGCGCCCTGAGATTCCCCAAGCAGGGAAGAGCAAGCCCCCAGGATACAGCTGACTGCAATGAGGGTCCTGAGGTCAACCAAGGGCACCATAAGTGCATCTACAAGCACAAATCTTTATGTTTCAGCTTCGTGTCTTCAAGAGCATCACTCTGCTCCCCATTGGAGCATTAATGAATGCATAAGTGGCCATTTTCCCATTCACATTAACCTGGCCAGGGCTCTCTCTCTCCTGCATGGCTCCACTCACGGCTTCAGAATGTTTGTAAACTGCTGAAATGGAATGTCAGTTCTTTCAGAAACAAGTTTCTTGAGTTGAGGAAGGGCCAGGCCAACTTTCAGAAGCCTCTGCAAGGGACCTAACAGAGCTAACGTCAGCTCCCCTGGAAGGTCTTCCCAAAGAGCCTGAAGAGTACCAGATATAGTCTCACATTTGTGCTCCAGCACTTTGGAATTGGGTCAGGAAGAATGGGAGTTCAAGGGCAGCTTTGGCTAGACAGGGAACCCAGGGTGGGCACTGTCTCAGGAAATGCAGTAAAACAAAACCAGGGAACCTGAAGCCATCACCTGGAGCTCTGGAAACTGAGAGAATGTGCGCAGGTCTCACGAGGATCCTTGGATCTTGCAGTCATAATTATATACACCTGTGCCTACGCTGTCCATCCCTCATTGAAACTGCAGCATGCTACATTAGTTACGAAGATGTGGGGCCAGTCCCTGGGCACAAGGACAGGAGAGGGACTATGCCATGGTCACTGACCAAGGGCACATTGCAAGTGAGAATACAACCTTGAGGGCGTTACCTCCATGCCCAGTTGACAAGAAAAAGGGTCGTATGATTTGCTCGTGTTTTTTTCCCCTCCCCCCTCTCTCCCCCAAACATTTGTAGGCCAAGGAGAAAAGAAGCCACAGGAAAAGTGGGGAAGGAGGGTCAGAGTCCCTGGAACTCCAGATCACAATGCTGCCATGGTGACACCATACGACTGTTCTTAGAGAGGAGACTGAGGCTCTGAGAGCAAGCAGATGGCACTTGGAGGTTCCCACCATGTAATCTTGGGTGGGCCACCATATGCAGGGCTGGGATGCAATTACCTCCCACTTATAGATCCATAGGCAGAGTCAGCCCCTGGTTCCCCGCCACATGGTCTCTAAGGGAAACCAGGCACGGAGACTGTCAAGACTTTAATTCTACTTCAGTTTATACCCTGGCGAAGACAAAGCGATTCCTTGGGCCTTTTCAACAATCAGCCAGTTGTTTCAAAGGAAAATCAGAGGCTTAACTGGGACTGTAGCATTTTCTTTTGGGATAGGTTGTACAACTCTATCCTCAAACGGATTTAAACGTGAGTGGGTCATGATTTATGACATGAGAAAGAAGCAAACCATAGGGAGACATCTGATGAAACTTTGGAGGAGCTAATAGGGAGAGCAGCACAGACCCCTGAAATGGTAACTCCTTAGGCTATCTGCGGTAGTTACATGGAATTCAGTGGTCTGTTACTTGGAATGGCCAAATGTCAGTGCATCTGCCTCTGATGTAATTGTAACCTCAGAGCTGGAGGGAAGCCTGGAAGGAGCTTCCAGGCTCTGTTATGCAGACCTGTGGGGGTCCTCAGCCAGTTCTGGCATTCACCATGCTCAGATCTTGCTGTAATGGGCCTCACTTTGAAAGACAAATGTTTCCTGTCATAGATGGAATACTTGAGCCCAGAGAAGAGATCTACCAGGAGTTCATGGGCCTCTGGGGGAGGGATTCCCGGTGGGAAGAACAGCAGCTACTTTTCCAACAGTGTGCCTGCAGTGTCCTCTATCTGCCCAGACTGAGGACAAAATGTGACCACGCAGTGACAGTGGAGTCTGAATTCGATTACAAGCCAAGAAGAGCAAAGGAAAAATAGGAGGAGGAAGAGGTCCTGGTGGCTTCCACAGGCCCCGGTGGGCACTGGCTGTAGGATTTCCCACTGTTCTTCTGTCCTGACCCAGTCTTTGCAGCACCTGGATCATAGCCACAGACGAACTGGAAGGGGGCCCAGAAGTCCCAGCAGCGTGGCCCACTTGGCCTAATGTCAGGCTGCTGGTCAGGGACTTGAGCTTAGCAGGCTAAGACCAGTTCTCATGACTCTGAGACCTGGAGCTCCTATCTCCATACCCCTCACCCTGTCTTCCTAGAGATATTAAAAATACTGAGTCAGGAGGATGACCAGGACAGATTTGAAATGGCAGTGGTTGAGCAGAATCATTAAAAGTATAACCATATGTATGCAAATGCCATAAGAAAACCCATTCTTTTGTAGGTTGACTTTAAAATTTAATTCAAAATAAACCTCACTCTGGTATGCAAAATATATTTCTAACGAACGGAGGGTCCAAGGCTCCAGACCCGAAAGTTCTCTGTAGAGAACAAATGTATTGCGCATGCCCTTGGACACTGTGGACTGAAAGTCCTTGGAGGGCCCCGACATTCAAATCAGCATGTCTCCTAGGGTCAAAAGCGCTCTAGCCAAAATGCAGGGACTCAGCAGAAGGGGAGCAGCCCGTGAACTGGGAGTGGAGAATGGCTTCTGGAGAAACAGATTACTCTTCTACCTAGATCTTGGATCGTTGGCCTTCTTAGGGTGACTCTGGCATTCTAGATCCCTAGTCTGGGTCCTGAAGAACACCGGGCTGGGTAGCTGACCAACGGAGGCATGGCTTACCTGTGGCAGTCATGCCAGATCCATGCGTGGCGGCCATTCTTGGGGCGGAAGTCGGACTGGCCATTGTTGTGGATCTGGGAGGAGAAGCGCAGGAGGCGGCGGTAGCCTGTGGTGGGGTTGGTGTGGACGGCAGAGGCTGAGAGGCAGTTCTCCTCCATGGCGCACTGCAGCAAGAACATGGGCCTGTCCTCCAGGTAGGCAGTTTGCTGCACAATCTCTGCGTTAAGCACCAGGTCAGGCGCAGCTGGGGAAGACCGACATGGGTCACAGACAGGAAACCCTTCCAAGGGCACCCCTGAGAAAAGTGCCATCATCCTGCACGTCCTGGAGCTGGCCTGGGCTCCTCCTTGTTACCTTTTTGTCACTCGCAATGATACTTTCTCTTTTCCAGAAGTCTGCTGGACACCCCCCTTCAGCTACCAGAAATATGAGTGATGGACACAAGGGCTCCTCCTTAGATCATTTTCTCTACTTTCAAGTCCCTCAGGCTCCCCATAATAAAAAGCAGAACGATAATAAAGGAGACCCCACTCACCCTTGGTGTGACTCTCTCTCCCCAAGCATGCATGCGGATTTATGGCCTACTAATGCCCTTCCCCTAAAACACATCTTGACTGTCGATGTCTAAACACTACCATGAACATTCATTTCATGGTTCTGTAATATTTAATTCACCCCCTGCTTCTACCTTTTAGGGAGGCAATACCTTGGCTGCTTAGAAGTTTTCAATGAAAGGCAAGACTGTGATCCTATAGTCAGCCTGCTCCTAAATTGTGTGGTGTGTGCGTGTGTGCGTGTGTGTTCTTTAGAATATGTCTCTGACAGAGAGATTTCTGTGCGTGTGTACGCGTGTGTGTTCTTTAGAATATGTCTCTGACAGAGAGATTTCTGTGCGTGTGTACGCGTGTGTGTTCTTTAGAATATGTCTCTGACAGAGAGATTTCTAGGAGAAAGAACAGCATGATTTAAGCCTTTGAGGCATATGGCCGAACTTGCCTTCTCACAAGCTTTTCCTGTTTCCCTTCATCACAGCATGGCACAGAGCTTGTACGGGAAGGATGCTGTCCATGTTGTTGGGGATGGAGGATGGAGGCCTCTTTCCACCCATGTGAACTGAGGCCACCTGAGAAACACGGCCTTGAAGCACGCGTTTCAGAGAACAATTCACGACAACCTCCTAGGCCTGGCTTCATAAACTGCGGGTTGAGAACCCCATATGAAGTTGTGTAAATGAATGTGGCGGTCTTAAAAATTCGGGGAACAGTAAAACATTTCTGAATATACAATGACTGAAAATTGACTTGACAATCAAATGCATAGGGAGGCTGAGGTGCCTCTGGCCGTGCTTGCCCATGTTGCATCGCGTGACTTCACCACAGCCTTCGTTCTGAACACTCAGCGCACACACTTTCCATTGTGGATGTCACATAGGCAACACCCACGAACACTGCATTAACAATTATACTGTCGAAGTACTTATCAACTCTTATTCATCAAGATTTATTTCTTTGTGCAATAGGCATGTTGGAGACTGCATGGGAGAGTGGAAGCAGAGACAGCATTAGCCTGGCTAGCGGGAAGGAGATCAAAGAGCCGTGTGCCTTCCCCCATCCCACACGCGAGTCTGCATAATACATACAGTACTGAAGGAAGGTGGTCATGTGGATACATACAGCAATGGTGGGGTAGAGGGAAATGCAGCTGAGAAAATGCTGAAAGGTAGAGATGAAGATAGATTGTATGTGTAGGGCAGTGAGAGTCCACTACCTAGAAACCAGGTATTCAATTACGTGAGTCGACAGGGGCCATTCTTATGCGAACCGCCATAGGTGGGAAGACCTACCCTAAACACAGGTGATACCATTCCATGGACAAGAGTCTCCAACTGCTTGGAAAGGAGAACTCGAGCATTCGTCTCTCTCTGCTTCCAGATTGTGGATAGAATGTGACCAGCTTGCCTCCTTCTCCCCGCTCCTGATGGACTCTAATCCTCGAACTATTAGCCAAAATAAACTGCTCCTTTCTTAAGCTGCTTTTTGTTTGTTTGTTTTTTGAAATAGGGTTTCTCTGTAGCTTTGGAGCCTGTCCTGAAACTCACTCTGTAGACCAGGCTGGCCTCGAACTCACAGAGATCTGCGGGCTTCTGCCTCCTGAGTGCTGGGATTGAAGGTGTGGACCACCACAGCCCAGCCTCTTAAATTGCTTTTATCAGGCATTTAGTACTTGTGGTAGTTTGAATATAATTGTCCTCCATAAACTCATAGGGAGTGGCACTACTAGGAAGTTGTTGGGGTAGGTGTGATCTTGTTGGAGGAAGTGTGTCACTGTGGGGGTGGGCTTTGAGAGCTCATATATGCTCAAGCCACGCCCAACAGCTCAGTACATTTCCTGTTGCTTGCATAGCAAGATGTAAAACTCTCAGCTCCTTCTCAGCATCATGCTGGCTTGCATGGCACCATGTTCCACCATGATGATAATGGGCTGACCCCTGAACTGTAAGCAAGCCCCAATTAAAGGCTTTCCTTTGTAAGAATTACTGTGGTCATAAGAGTTACTGTTTTTTCATAGCAACAGAAATTCTAACTAAGACAATACTAACTGATATACATTCCTTAAACTAATCCTCCCTTTTTCCCTCTTTACCATGCCATCAGCCAGGACCTGTGGTTGGGGAATAGGACCCATAATCCACTGTGCTGTCCTCTTCTGAGCTCACACTGTGGGAAGAGTAACTGATGGTGCCTTCAACTCCAGAGAACCTGGGACAGGAGGGAAGCCGGAGAGGCAGGCAGCCCTTGGGAAGCCTTACTTTCTGAGCAGGCGACTCCAGCGCCGAACCGCACTCCACCCTCAGGGCAGGCCACTTCCTCGTCATGGCGGCAGTGTGCCAGGGACAGCTCTGTCCCCGAGCACTTCACTCCACTCATGACCACTTTGTTGGCAAAGACGTTCCCGTGCCAGTACCAGGTCTCCTGAAGAAATCAACCAAAGAGGACACAGTATGTCAACTTCTGGCTCGACAAAACCCTCAAGGCTTTACGATCCCATTTTCTAGGTGGAGACAGATGAGGCACAGAGAGCCGTTTATTCCAGCTGGTGACGGAATGAGGGGGCATCTATGACTAACCCTGGGTTTGCATGAGAGAAGAAGACCATTCACATATGACAATAATTGGCTGTCTTACAAAATTCAGCTCCTGGATTTAATTCTAGGAAAAGCACTTTATGGGATGCTGGCTGAGGAGCCCCCAGGTTTATGATGCTGAGATTGATTAAGATCCTTCTAGCTATGGAACTTCAAAACACTGTTAGCATACACTCTTATAGTTCAAAAACTTCCCAGTAGAGAAAATGGGTGTGTGGGGGAGGGGCAAGTAAAGAGCTTACAAGGGAACGTAAAAACCTGCGTGCTCTGAAGTTTCCAGGGTTTATTTATGCATCAACTTGGCTCAGTGACAACAGCCAGATAGTTGTTTAAACACTATTCTAGATGTTTCTGTGGAGGAGATTTTAAGTAAGATTAATATTTAAATCGTTGATTTGAGTATGACAAGTTGTATTGCATCATGGGGGATAGGTCTCATTCAGTCAGTTGAAAAATCTTACAAGGCAAAAAAAATGAGGTCCCTTTGTGAACAGGGCAGAATGAATGCCTTTGGACTTGAAACACAATCTGAGCTGTTCTTTGGGGCCACAGCCTTGTACAGTTTAGACTTGTCAGCTTCCCAAATCATGGGAGCTCATCTGTCAAATCAATCTCTGTCTATTGACTGATGGTTAGATACACAGTTTCAGATAGGCTATAGAGATAAAGAGTTGGCCCTCTTTCCTTGACTTCTATAACTATGGGTTCACAGCCTTGGACTGAAAAAATAAAAAAAAATATTTTAAAATATCAACTATGCTAACCACGTGTAGACTTTTTGTTGTTTTTCCTGTTCCCCAAGAATTACAATACCAAAACCATAAGCATAACATTTACACTATATTAGAGATGACAAGCCATGGAAAGACAAGGACCTTCAGGGAAGAACATGTGTAGATTCTAAAGGAACACTGTACCATTTCATAGGAGGATTGGAGCATTATGGAGAGATTGGTACCTGGGGGGGGGGGGGTCCCCGAATGTATCTACATCCTATTGGTTCTGTTTCCCAAAGAATCTGAAAAGAATCCCTCTAATCCTCCACAGGAAAAACCTAGGGCTCTAAGCAAAGACAGGGCTTGTCTTAGGTGGCTGTTTAGAACCCCAAGCCGAGGCCCAAGTATCTTGGGAATGAGCTGACAGAGAAGAAAGACAGCCAGACAGCCGATCTGTCACTTGGAGAATCAAGTGTTGTGTGTGTCCAGCTTGCTCTAGGGGGTTAAGTTCCTAGATGGTGTCTCTCCTGGATACTAGAATGATAAGCTGCAGATAGAGAACACAAGGATCCCTGGCTCACGACTCAGCCCAGGTCAGACCATAGGAGACAGACAAGCTCAGCAGGGATGCTGAGCTCCTTCCTCAGAAGGAAGAGGCTATATGGGACCAGGAGGGAGAGTCAGGCCAGCAGACAAGATGGACCACAAAGTCTTGTCCTGCTTCATGGCAATACTCAGAGCTGGGACACTGAGGAATACGGATCCTTCGTTCACAGGTGGGGAAAGCGGGGCACAGAGGAGTGGGAACTTTGCCCCAGACTATCATGCAGGAATGGTACTGGGAGTAACCAGGGCCTCTAGTCCTGTGCTGTCTATGACTGGGAAGCAGAAATGAAGACCAGAATGACCTTACTGGATCTCTTGAGTCACTAGGTCATTTGAGAGTGGTTCTGGCAGGAAGGTGCAGCCAATGTGACAAGAGTTCAGGACACAGCCTGGAGATTTGCTAGCATATCAGTAAAAAATGAGACAAGGAGGAAAGGGTTCCTTCACAGAGGGCTTCGAGGAAACAAACTAAGTCATTTGGAGTGTTGATCCTCATGCTGGGTGCTCCCCATGTTCCTCGAAGACCAAAGGTCCTTCTAAAAACAACATACAGGACACTTCAGGCTCAGCCTGCGGAGAACCCCAACATGGAGTGGTCCAAGGCAGCAGTAAGTGACTCAGAGATGTCCAACCTGCAACCAGTAGGCACCAGGCAATCTCAAAAAACCACTATAACCATGGATGTTGCAACCAGTGGGCAACAGGGGATCACAAAAAGCGTCCCCCCCCCCGTAACTATGGATGCTGTTCAACACAAAGTCAAAGACCCACTTAAAACAGTATGAGTTTTCTCTGTAACGTTTTCATAACTTACAGGCACAGCGTGAACTTTGTAGGTGACAACATTGTGTCATGACGTCAAAGGGCTGGGCACACCTGGAGCCCCTTATTCTGTAGCTAGATACTGAGACTGGGATAGGAGAGACTTGGCCTGAGCCTTGGAGCTGTCAGGCAAGGGGCTATGTCTAGAATGAGATCTCTTGCCTTGGTCCAGGGTTTGCTTGGTTGTGTCCTTTCTTAGCGACAGGGGAAAGTTAGCTGACGCTGACTAATGATGGGAAAGGCCAGGCTGAATGGAGGGTGGGCGAGGCTGTTAGGCCTGGGTCACTTACCTGGAAGGCATTGCTGGCAAAGCCCAGGCCGAGCTGCCGGCAGACCACCATGGCCTCCACAATGCCCCAGTTCTGGCCGCATACAGTTCCCCACACAAGGGACCCATTTCTCTCTGTTAGTACCTCCACTCGGCCCTCATAGGGGTTGCGGCCTCCGTTCAGGCGTAGCTGTGGATAGCAAGAAACATGGTCATGAGGATGGATGGAAGAGTCTCCCCATATTACCATTAGCTCCAAGCCAGGCGGTCCTACTTGGCCACCTTTGGATCCAGAACATCCTTAAGAGTCCCCCCGTGTGTCAAATTATGCCAGCATGAAGTCAGTGAGGTCTCACCTAGGTGTCTGGACCCCATGCTGAACACCACTCTGTTGGTAATGTAAGCGCCTTCTAAGAGGTGCAAGAATTACGTGTATAGCATCAGGATTCTGCCGGATCTGTACACTCCCTCCTAGGTACTAGGTACCACTGACCTCTCACGGAGCCTCTCACTGTCCCAGTGACCGAAGGAATGAAGGTTCACTGTAGCTGGACAAACAGAACCCAGAGCCTTGTGCATGCTAGGCAAACACTCTACCAACTAAACCACATCCGGATCCCATTCCCTAACACTTATGCATAAACCCCAATGCTATCCACTCTGCTTGGAGGTGTGGTCTCAAAGGGGACAATTAAGGTTACTTAAGACCATATAAGAATGCTATAATTCAGACAGACTGATGCCTTTAGAAGGAGAAAAGAGACCCTGGGGATGTAGCAGGCACAAAAAGAGGTTACATAAGGACAGTAAGAAGGAGGCTGGAAACAGGGCAGACCAAGACCAGAGAAACCCCAGAAGACACCAAAGCCTGCAATACCTTGGCTTGGCTGTATTCTCCTGGCAGACCCAGGAAGAAACCAATCTTACTGGTGAAGCTGGCAGTATTTTATTTTGTCACCAGAAGCAGACCTATAGTGATGAAACTCGGATGCTTTGGTTCTTTCTCCTAGCATGGATGCTGGCACACTTGGGAGTCCCATGCCTGGCTATGCCATGCCTGGCTGGCCGTTACAACTGAGGTTGAGCTCAGACAGTATAGCCTCGAACCTGGGCCTTTGGAAATATGAGAGCTGTTGGCAGCGAGGATTCAACACTTCTGTGGCAACAAGCAGGCATCTGCTCTGGCACGGCTCTATCTACAGACCACCAAAAGCTTCTGGAAAGCCTTGTTTCTTTGCCTGAGGTCTCTCACGTCCCTGAGCTTTGACTCATCTGGAGAATGACTCAGCACATGGGGATGTAGGGCTGGCCATGGGTTGCAGCATTAACAGGGTTCCCGTTGCAAACTTCTAGCAGCTCCAGATGGCAGGTTTCCCCGTGTGTGCATTCCTGTTACCCGAGAGGAATGCACAGCCCAACTGCCTGTTGCTGGCAGGCACCTAGGGCACAGTTAAGGACGGAGAGTTCTATTAGGAGTGCCTTGGCGCTCTGGTGTCAGGGAAGGACTGCTGTCTTATCAGGAACCTGCCACATCTGGTGCCATAATGTGTCTATTTAAATATGCATACAATATTTGCTCTATGGCATATGTCACGTAGCACCCAACAAACTTAAGGCACAGTGGGGAGCCTCATGTAGGAAATCATGGGTGTTTTGTAGCACTGATTAGACTTCCTGTAAGACAAGGAGGTGGAGGATTCTTCTCTGTGAGCAAGGTCGACAAGCATTGCACCCTGCCTCGGGAAGGGTGGTGCCTGTGTCTCCGGTTGCAAGTCCGCTGACTTCCTTCAATTCCTGTTTATACACCGCTGCCGGTATTATGTTCACACAGTGCTCTGCAGACCCGCCATCTGTGCATGCGGTGCCTCTGAGTCTTCACAGAGGATCTATGCCAAAGGTGTCAGGTGTGGTAAATTCTGAGCTGCCCCTGTACCACATGCCTAGTCCCAAAGCAAGGGATCATCCACAGGGAGATGTCGGATACCTGCCACACCAAGAGCGGCATTTATGTGTTTGTTCACTTGGCACACTTAGAAATGCTGACTGGCAATGACATTGACAGTTGACAGCGGCAGAGCAGGTGTCAAGAGTTCACCTTAGAGCACCCTTGCATACCTAGGAGAGTCCTTCAGAGTGAGGCCACCTGCTCTGCATTCTTTGGGGCCTCAGCATCGCAGGTGCCTCTGGGCATGCCACCTCCTCACCTTTTTCTGGAAGCCCATGATGGGGATGTTGCATCGCACACCAGCGTCTTCCTCATGGCTGCAGCCCTGCGACTCCGTGTTGAGTTTGCAGTCTATGATGGACTTCTCGGTCCCTGTGCACTGGACCTCGTTGAGGTGGATGGGCCCAATCCCTAGGAAGGGAAGCAGGATGCATGCTATAAAATCACCTGGAGGACGTTTCCTGGAACAGGCAGGAAAGGCCCTAGAAACCAGACTCTGTCTATTCCACCTTCAAAACTCCCAACTGTGGCCCCTTCTCCCTGGAAAAAAGTGGTGTGTGTGTGTGTGTGTGTGTGTGTGTGTGTGTGTGTATTTTGCCTTAAGTGCAATACTAAATTGCCAGGTGACCTTGGTCAGATCACTTAGTGTTATGGTTTGAATGTAAACTGCTGCCCATGAGCTCATGGGGTCTGGTCACTAGCTGGGGGCGCTGTTTTGGAAAGCGTGTGAAAACTTTAGGAGATGGTGCCTTGCTGGAAGAAGTGGGTCATCTGGGAGTGGGCTTCGGGGGGGGGGGGGGGGTTGAAGGCCCGGCACCACTTCCTGTCTTATTTCCTTTCTGACTTCAGATGGATGCCACGTGACCAGCTGTCGCATGCTCTGGCCGCCATGCCTTTCCTACCATGATGGATTATATCCTTTCTTAAATAAACTAAGCCCAAATAAATCCTCTTTTTCTTAAGTCCCCCCCCCCCCAGGTATTTGGTCACATCAATGGGAACAGTAACTCATACACCCAGCCTCCCTGGTCACTGGGTCTCTTTAATAAAGGAGTCAGATTAGATGCTGGCGCCTTTACCCTGCAGCTACCATAGTCTAGGCACTTAAGAGTCTGAGAATATGACTGCATCTGTAAAAGTCCCTGCAGGAAACACGTAGCCTACACAAACTAGGAGGTCTGAGTTAGAAAGGGGGCCATTTTAAAATCCAGTCAAGAATGGGGTGTAGGGAGTATACATCACAGGGTAGTTAAGAACTCAAGGCTAATAACACTAGGGCTTGAACACAACCCTCTGAGTGAGAGAAGAGCCAATAACTCACTCAGGAGAGGGATGAAGAGGTGAAGACCCCTGAAGAGAGCTGTCTCCCTCCGTGGAGAGACATAGTGCCCATGGGGACTGTCTAAGCTTCTCCCCTCTGGTCACCTCCAGTTTTCACCAGTATCCCGTGTTGGCCAAACCCAACTATGCCTTGAGGCACTGGGCATCGTGGTGAGGGTGGAGAGTGGACCTGGAAAGGCAGACAGGAGTCATGGGGCAGTCGACATGGAGATGATGCTAGGAAGCTTGTCTTTCTGGGGCTGGGATAATGAGAGTGAGCCTCAGCCATGAGAGGAAGGGTACTCGGGCCCCTCAACTCACACCCAGAACTTTCCTTTTCAAGCATGATGAACTTCCCAAAGAGTCATCTGCTTTGTCTCTCGCCCCTTTTCCATATGGCTACTAGAAAATTCAAAACTACCCATGTGGCTATGTTTCTGCTGGAAAGCACTCGTTTGCAGAGCTGGAATGTTTTGTCAAGTGTTTGTCCAGTAGACCATACCTGTTCAACTGGAGTGTGTCTCCCTTTTCCTGGAGTGCCTCCCTCCCTTGATCACTCCTTGGACATCTCTGGGCATAGACTCTAAGGACAGAAGCTAAGGCATGATGCAGGACAATTGTCTATATTCTGTCAATCATGTTTTAAATAAACGCTGATTGGCCAGTAGCCAGGCAGGAAATATAGGTGGGATAACTGGACAGGAAATAGAGGTGGGTCAATGAGAACAGAAGAATTCTGGGAAGGAGGAAGCCCCCTCCCCAGTTCTGTTCAGACACTGAAGAAGCAGGATGTGACCTGCCCCACTGAAAAAGGTACTGAGCCATGCGGCTAACATATAGTAGAATAATGGGCTAATATAAGTTACAAGAGTTAATAAGAAGCCTGAGCTAATGGGCTAATCAGTTTTATAACTTATGTAGACCTTCTGTGTGATTCTTTCGGACATAACAACTGTGAGAACTGGGCAGGACAGAAACCCCAACAAGCAGGCCCTGATACAACAAAAGCACACAGGCCTATGTCTCACACTTGGTTCACTTGTTGGGGAAGGTTCATGTGTCAGCAGACAGCTGGGAACTGGGTGGGGGGTAGTCCTGAAGTACAGAGGGAAGAGCCTGTCATTATATGAATATCCACCCTGGTGATGCAGAAGCCAGACAGAGCCCCACACATCACCTATCCAGCTACCTTGTTTTACAGTGAAGAAGCTCAGGACTAGAAGGTTCTTCAAGGTCACAGACAAGCAAGTAGCCAGGCCAGGGTGAGGACTCAGCCTCTGCCCTTTCCCTACCCATGGGTTTAGGTGTGGTTTCTTGTTCCATCAGCTAGAGCCAGGACTCAGGAGCTGACCCTATCTGCTCTGGGGCATGTCTTTTAATGAGACTTTTCCTTTCCTGGCGACTATCGTCATCCACCCAACGTGGCAGAAGGCAGATAAATCTCCCACAGTGCCTTGACAGCCGACATCAAAGGCACTCAAGCCATCTTCTTCCTAGAATTCCTCAGGCAACTTGTAAACCTTTGGCTGCTCTGGGCGGGGCAAAGAATTAGGTCACACAGTCCCTGCTCATGACACATGGAATGTCCGTGTCATCGAGGGCTTGTTTATGCCTCGGGAGGAGTGGCTGTGGTCCTGAGGACCTTAGGAAAGCTCAGACCATGTGGATCAACCAACAGAGGGGACCATAGAAACACTGAGGCACCTGACTTCTTCACTGGGACCTAAGGGGAATGGGTTGCTGTGTGGCATAGCAGGGACTGCCAGGTGACACCATATGCTGATGCTGCACCTGTCCCCAGCCACCTACCCTTTAATACACATTTGGTACAAGAAAGGAGTAAATGTCATTAAGACTAGTCAGGGAGGGAGGCAGTGTCAAAAAAGGAAGCCAAAACCATAAGAGTTAGGCAACTGGCCAACTCTTAGGTTCCCATGAGCCTCATAGTCCTCCTACGTGGGACCAGAGAAACTATGTTTCCCTCCAGCAGGGCAGGTCTATGACCCCACGACTTTCCTCAGTTCATTCCCGGGGCAGCTGGGGGTGGGGTCTGATGCAGGACAGTCAAACAGATGAACTAGAGTGGATAAGCTGCGCTGCTAGGCTATGAGAGTTCTGGGTTCTCTAATTGAGCGGGAGGTGAAGGTCAGCTGAGATGCTGGAATCCTAGCAGAGAAAGCCACTGTTGTGGTGTTCAGGGCCTGGGTGAGCAGGAGCTATCACCTCCTTCAGGCTGCAATTGGTGACCTCACCAGACTCCTTTCTTTGGCATGATGGCTCCATTTGCAAGAGTATAGGTTACCTCTTGGAGCCCAGGACAGCGGTCCTCAACCTTCCTAATGCTGTGACCCTTTAATGCAGTTCTGCATGTTATTTGGTTGCTATTTCATAACTGTAATTTTACTACTGTTGTGAATTGTAATATAAATATCTTATATGCAGGATATCTGATATACTACCCCCAAGGGGGTTGTGACCCACAAGTTGAGAACCACTGGCCTAGGACATCCCATACCTGTCTGTAGTCCAAGCCCCATCCTCCCTGCCATAGCAGTCTGTCTATGTACTGATCAGTGCTGAACAGAGTCCCAGAAAGACCAAACCTTCTTTCCCTTGAACACAGTTCTGCAGGGGTAGACTAGGCACTCACAAGGCTACTGGTCTTGTGGAAGGCTCCTGATGGATCGGGGCTTTCTAGGCTGAGTGGTTTCCATGGACTCACCCAATAGGGGGTTCTAGTTTGTTCTGTGGCCAAGGAGACAGCACTGCTCCCAGTTTCCCTACCAAATGCCTCCTGTACTTTTGTTCTTTCCTCACATAAACGACCTGCTTAGGACACTTGATGAAAGCAAGCTCCCTTATCATAACTGTCTCCTGACATCAGAGAGGGCTGCCCTGTTTCCTTTCTCTGCTCTCAGGAGCCCAGTATTGGCGAGGCTGCACCAGGATGGACAGGCAAGGTGACAGTTGGTTCTTTTGTGTGCAACTATGCTTGATGGATCCTGAGGTCCTTTCCTGGAGGAAGGACCTGGGATTCTGGCCTTCCCACTGGAGCAGCTGAGAGTACGGAGCAGGGAGCTGGAGACCTGGAGACCTGGTGTGTCCACTAGGTGCTGTTCTATTGTCTCAGTTTACCCATTCATCCTTCTCTAGGTGGCAGCTCCAAATCTGTCAGAAGGGGATTTGGTGGGGAGGAGTGTTCCAGGGTCCCCTAATGGATGGGCAAGGGAGAAGCGGAGTAAGTTGAGTTTGAGGGGATCATGGCCACCAGTTGGGCCCAGGTTCCTAGGACCATGTTTTCCCCTGAAGAGAGATTCCTACCTTCAGCTACGTCATTCCTTACCTTGCCCCAGCCGGGAGCCCGTGACAGCCTCTTTAGCAGTCCCGAAGCCCAGCTCTCGGCAGACCACACTGGCAGACACCAGGTCCCACTTGTCGTCGCAGACGGTTCCCCATTCTCCATTCTTGAGCACCTCCACTCGGCCCTCCCCGACCTGGGCTCCACCTCGCAGCCGCACCAAGGGTTGCTGGAGAGACACACGGTCCTGCTGAGTGCAGAAGTGACATGCAGCCTTCGAGTCGACGCTGCCCGGCTCCTTTTTGTCTCCCGTAGCCATGACCCCGCCAGATCCCCATAGCTCAGAGTCTGAAAACGCTCCAGCAGGTTCTCAGTAGCTTCTCATGGGCCTCTGTGCTGGACCACTAGGAAGGCCATCCAAGACCCCCATCAGCTCATCACCCCTTCCCAGACTTGGTTCCTAGATTCCACCATCAGTCACATCCTTCTGCCCCAGCTCCAAAGCTTCACAACATTTAGATCTACAGAGAAAAGCTTCTACCATCCAATTTCACAGATTCCAAGTGAATTTTTATTTTCTACTGCTTATATAATAGAGCTGTACAATCTAGCCCTGCAGGGAGGTCCCTGGGTGAGGAGCCAAACACAAGCGGTAATTCTCATAGAGGGAGACGCAAGAGGGAGACTACAGGAAGTGGCAAGACAGAGAGTGGAAACATGGGGCTCTATCAGGAAAGACAGACCAAATCAGGAGATGTTTGCGAGGCTGCAGGCACAGGGAGTCCTCCTAGCTAAGACTAACCACCGCCCAAGCCCAGAAGATACAGCCTATCTAAACATCAACCAGGCAGAGAGGGTGGAGATGGTAGTTTCCCTGCCCCTAATCTTACTCACTGTCTGGAAACCTCAGTCCCTTCTCGGCCTTCTGGAATTACACGGGAATAAGATCCATTCCCTGCCAGTTTCATGAAGTCTGTGGATCATATTTTAAAGAATGGGGGTTGGCTTCATCTCTCTGCACAGGCTGCTGTGCCTCAGTTTCCATGTATGTGTACAAACCTATGTTTGCATGCCCGATGTCTGCATGTGTGCACATGTTTGTGCATGCGCATGTGTGTGTGTGTGTGTGTATGAGTATGTATGTGTAAGTTTGCAAGGCTGAGTCACTGCTGATATTCATCAGAGGGCTGTGAAGCCATTGTAGTCAGACCAGACCAGAGCCTTGGTTCTACTATGACTTAGGTAGTCCTCAGCCTGTGACTTCGTTCAGACCGTGATGAGGCAGGCTTGCCCGAAGGTGACATATTTCAAGCATTCAAGCCCTCTGCCACCTTGAGAAACAAGGTACCAAGGAAGAGCCCCCCCCCCACTCTGCAGTCATCTCTTGCTTCCCCACAATGACACCTTGGGGCTAGCCACACTTAGAGAGTCCCCCAGGGACTGCTGAGCCTGGCACTGGCAGGACGAGTAAAGGAGGGCGGGTGAGTGCGAGACACTCAGTGGCTCCCAAAACTTCCTTCCTTCAGAAAATAGAGCACAGTGAGGAAAATCACAGGCTCTAACCTCAGTTCTCAAGAGAAACGTGGTCTCCTTCCCAAGCTCGTGAGTGGGATACAAGGGGCCCCTCACACTCACATGGAGTCGCCATCCTGATCACAGCTGGACGGAGATAGACTATCAGCCTAGCCACAGGGACCAGACAGCCATCCAGCTGGCCGTGCAGCGAGGACAGAAACCAAGGAAAATATGAGGTCAGCCTCTCGCTTGGTTTATTGCTTTGGTATGAACTTGACTGCTTTGCTCCACACAGCACAGCAGAGGAATTCCAAAACAGTAGGATCTGGAACTCTGGATGACAGGGAGAGCTGGGGAGAGGGTAGGGGGAGGAGGCAGGATGGGGCCAGCTGGACAAAGGACAGGGGACGTGAGAGTTCAGGGCAGGGGCAGTTTGGGGCCCAGGAATAGCTGAGCCTGTGCCACAGGGCGACAGGTGCCTGGTAAAGGCACATCTCTGCACTCCCAAGGCACCTTGAAGAGACCAGGAAGGCCAGGCTTATTGTTTCCCAGAAGAGCCAGGAAGTTAAGAGGTCCCTCTAAATCATCCCACTGGGCTAGGCTCCCAGCATACATCTCACGCCTCACACACTACTAGGACTTTCATTCAAACACCTCCGCCTTCCCTGATTTCTTCTCTCTGTGGGGCATCGCAGAAGTAGGAGGGGAAAAGTATAAGACAGGAGGAAGAGAAGGGAGAGGAGACTTCTGCTGTTCCACCACTGCCTCCCTCTGCAGGTTCCTTCCTCCCCAGCTCCTTTCCCCTGGCATGAACTCACTCTGCTAACACGATGTTTTAAATGGCCCAGAGCCTCAAGTCACGATGGAGGCTTTATCGGACCTGTGATTCAACATCTAGTCTATGATCATGCCTTCTCTTCTTTTCATGTGCTGTTCCTACCTAGTGGCCCTGTGTTAGCAATTTCCAGAACACACACATACACACACACCCCAAACATCCAATACCCAACAACACATATGCATTCCAAACACACAGATAGACACAGCTCCAGTACATACTGGAAAGAGGGATAAAGAGAGAAAAAACAGGACCATTTGGTGGTGGTATGGTGGTGGTGGTGGTGGTGGTGGTGGTGGTGGTGGTGGTGTGTGTCTTGTGGAAGGAAGACAGAATTGAGATTCTTTCTTTTTCAGAGGGTCAGTCTGCCCTGACTGGTCATTCACCTGTTCTGGGGAATCAGTCCATTGAAATGGAGGATCTAATTCACATGGGAAGACCCTCTCTCCCCAAGCCCAATTACTCTCACAGTGGTTCTCAACCTTCCTAATGCTGTGATCTCTTAACACAGCTCCTCTACTGGATGATGGTGGGGCACATCTTTATTCCCAGCACTTAGGAGGCAGAGGCAGGCAGATCTCTGTGAGTTCAAGGCCAGCCTGGTTTACAGAGCAAGTTCTAGGACAGCCAGGGCTACACAGAGAAACCTTGACTCAAAAAAACAAACAAACGAAAAATAATTAACATGAAAAATACAGTTCCTCATGTTGTGGTGACCATAAAATTATTTCATTGCTACTTTGTAATTGTAGATTTGCTAGGTAATGTAATTATCTGATATGAAGGATATCTGCTATGACCTTTGGGGGTCGAAACCCACAGGTTGAGAACCTCTGCTCTATACAAACCAATGAGTGACTCCTGTAGCAATAGTGTGACCAGTGGATAGATGACTTAGGAATGGCAACGGCAGGTTTTCTAAACAGGGAAAGCTTTTGCAGTTAGCTTTTCTTTTGTGAAATAAGCCATAATGAGTAGAAACAGCACAGTCGATGTCATGTGCCTTGGAGAATTGCATCCTCCCTCCTACAGTTCCAGAATCCTGGATGCTTTCTCGTTCAGGAACTTAGCAGAAGCACAAGGTCCCTGGCTGGCTATGCCATATCACTTGCTCATGCTGGGCTAAAGAACAGAGTACAAGAAGCCCGTGCTGGCCCACAATGGGGTGCTTGCCTTGTGTGAAGAGCCACAGAGGGGGCTCTGATTTTGACTGGAGGCCAGCTCTCTCCTGTTCCCTTTCTAATCATGACCCCTGCCAGTGACCAAGCGCCCATACCTTTTGCTGAGTCCTTACCTCTGGCTTGTAGGCTTTCCGGAACCTTGAGGGCCCGTCGGGGCTGAAGATCTGGCTAGGCACACAACTGACCACGGCTGGCTGTCCCCCCTCACAGGTAGCATTCTTCACAAGGTCCCGGGACATGGGAGGGCCCAGTTTGCAGCTGGAGATGTGAGCTTCAGTGCCCGTGCAGTTCATAGAAAACTTCCAGTAGCGCAGCTTCCTCTTCAAGGCAAAGGTTCTGCAGGGAAAGAGAAGAGCTGGGCAACCAGGGCATCCCAGCAGATACCTGCTTCCTTCCTTTTGTAGCCAGCAGATCCAGCTCCCAGATCCCAGTCTCCCCCCTGCTGCATGATAGGCATGCACTACTACTCCAGGCTTCGTTTTTCTCTTAAAAGTCTAAGGGATCATGGTTTATAAAATGGCTAATTTGGGGGGAGGGAGCTACAAAAGGAAGGATCCTTCGGTTCAGCAGTTAAGAGCACCGGCTGCTCTTCTAGAGAACCCAGGTTCAATTCCCAGCACCCATATAGCAGCTCACAACTGTCTGCAACTCCAGTTCCTGGGGATCCGACACCCTCACACAGACCATACCTATAGGCAAAACACCAATGCATATAATATAAAAATAAATACAATCTTTAAATTACATTTAAAAAACAAAGAGAGTGAATGGATCCTTGCTGAGGTGATGAGGACCATGTGATGGAAGATTAGGCTATAAAAAATAGTGGTGTTCAGAGAGGGTATGTGGGGAGGGCACCCCATCCTCTGAAGTTGTCCAGATTTTTAGAGCCTCTGTACTTGCCCCTGCTTGGCAGGACTCGGTGAGATGCTTGAGGAAGACAACAGCATAGCTGCCTGCTACCCTGGGGGAGGAGGCTCTCAGGGCAGGGACCCTGGGAGGGACAGATGTGAAGTCTTGTCCTTATTGGTCCAGTCCAGCATCCTCAGAAATGTCTGCTTTGTCTTGGGGTGAATGGTATGTGAACACAGAGGAAGGACAAATTCTTCAGATGTCATTATTGTCTCCCCTTTACCAAAATTTGCGTCTTGGAACATTTCTAGTATAGCTGTGGCTACCAACACCCGGATATCTAAAACACAGACTATATCGGGATGTGTGCTCACCACAGTGACATCATACAGTAGAGAGGTCCATGAAGGGGCTGTTATGAATTCCAGAGCATCTGCCCCTCCCCATTTCCTGTAAGGTCCCTTCCTCTAAGAAACCTAACCCTCCTTCCACACATGGGCAGAATACACTCAGGGGAACATGAGTGTAACTGGACCCCCCCCCCCCCCCCCCCCCGCTGGCTTAGGAAAGTCCCTCTGTGTCCAGCTGTTGGAGAGCACCACCCTCCCTCACAACTCACTCAGCTTATGGGACTGCCTCAGACCTGCTCCAGGCTTCCCCAGACAGCCCGCTTCTGTCTTACATCAGCTCTCCGGAATGTGCCGCCCACCATGACCCTCCACAGGCTTCCAGCAGCCAGAGTACCACCCCACCCCCATCCTCATTTACGCTCATGGTAGCTGAGCCAGCCCAGGAGAATCCGAGAAGAGGTGAGAGGGAAAAGAAGCATAGCCGCCCCCAGGCCTGGACATGAGACGGATGACTGAGGTTGGGGACGGGCTTATGCCAAGACGGAAGTCAGCAGGGCTGTAACAGTTAATGTGCTGGAGTCCCAGAGGCTGTTCCCAGCTAAGGGAAAGCTAGATTTTGTGAGAGCCTGCCAGGGGCTCAGTGTCTATTCTAACTACACTTTCTAAACCTGGGAAAGGATTGGAGTTTATTGGGTCCGTGTGAGAAGAACGTCAGTCAAAGCTCCTCCTCGGACTGGTAAGCCACATACACACTATACTCTCGGATCAGTCAGAGCTAGCCCAGCACTCCACAGAATATCCGATTACTCCTTCCTTCCTGACACACAGCCGTCCAGGTAAGGGGTCCCTTTGCAGGGAGCTGGGAGAAAAGCAGAAGGTTGGCAAGGTACCCAGGTCTTTCCTTTTGTTCTGGGGTTCTGGGCCTGCCAACTGACCCAAGACTTAGAATTGATTAGGAGAGTGTGATAGCCCATTGCTATCATTTGGGTTAGACCTTTCACTTGGCCTGATGTTGGAACAACCAAAGAAGAATGTAGTCAGCCTCTGGCCTGCCTTCCAGAAGCATCATAACCAATGGAGTAAACTCTGAAACTTGTGAGTGCCCACTGGCCTGTCAGCCCAGCAGCTTAGCAAGGGGAGCAGGCACCACAGGAACCATGGAGAGCTTCTGAGAAGGGTCTTGGGTGAAGGCGGCAGGTCCACGAGGGAACTCAGATTATACAGGGACAGATTATACAGACGGACTGAGGACAACTTTGACAATTTTTTTTCCTTAGAGCCTCAGGCCTGCACAGGACCCATTTGTAAGAAGATTGATGAGAGACAGGAAAAAAGGCTACTGAGAGCTATTAATCCAGGGACCAGGCTCATCTGTGTAATCAGCTCTGATCAGGACCCACAGATAAGTCTGCCTGGGGCCAGCCCCGTTCTAGTCCCACTGAGCTAGTACTAGTCCTAGAAGGTCACAGCTGCCTGGTGAAGACTGGGTGAGAAGCTGGATGGGGAAACTGTCCCTGGAGCCAAGAGACCCTGAACCATAACCCTGGCTTGCCAAACATTTCTTAACTCAGTGCTGTCCTTGCCAAACCTATATATTACCCTTATACAACCTATGTGTTCTCCAGTGGCTGCTGGAACTGACGGTGGTATTTCCCTGGACTGGAGAACTGTGTTCCTTATTGGGTAAGCCTTCCTATGTGGCTATTGTAGTTCCCTCATCTAGCTTGTTTCCCATAGGAATGTGAGTTACTCAAAAGCAAGGCTAAGCAGTCAGTGAAACAGTCTGTCACTAGGGCTGGCATTGACCCCACAAGAATAGGAGCCCAGGAAACTCTGCCCCCGCTGGCCCTGCCCACTTACTTGTAGGCTTTGGGGTTGTAGGTCTTCTCTGCAGGGAAGCCAAACATGCCGCAGACCACGTGGGAATTCTTGGCTGTCCAGTGCTTGTCACAGATCTGCTTCCAGGTCTTGCCCTCCTTCACCTCCACGTAGCCCTCTGTCACAGGCTTGCGATGGCGGAAGGCGGAAAGGATAGGCCGAATCCGGATGTCTTCCACCTGTATATTTAGGCTCTGTGAAGAGGGAGATGTAGAAGGAAGACAGAGGTTATGATAGGAGCCTAGCCCTGGACAGGTACCAAACAGCAATTACGTCCTCAGGGATCACAGGCTGAGTTCTGCTGGCCTGCCTCTCTCCAGGCTCTGCAAAAGGCCCCAAGCACTCCCAGTGGGCACATAGCACTGTTACTAACTGCTATATATCGGGAGGTAGTGTGGCAACAGGCACCAAGGACGACTTGGAGTGCTCAGAGTAGTCTTGAGGGGCCCCCAAAAACTCCTCTTTTTCCTACAAGAAACCAGAGAACTGCAGGCAGTAGATTCTTCCTACATGGGCTTTAAATATAAAAGCATAGGAAAGAAAGTATTCTTTGACTCTTCTGAAATTCAAACTCCTCTGGATTTTTTGCATTTCACTCCAAAGTGTGTGCAAACATACCAACGAGTATATATGTGTACAGTGTACATGTCTGTGTGTGCTTGTCAGACTGGAGCCCCACGCAGGGGACCTTTAAGCTACCGATGTCACCAGGAGCACCACCTCACATCATTCCTCCCGTGAAAGCCCCCAGAGGCCCTGCTTGCAGGAAAAGAAACAAAGCCACCCAGTGTTGAGCATGTCATGTGCAGGAGAGCCTCGAACCTGGGGAGCTGTGAGCTAAATAGGGCTGGGGATGATTATTTGGCCATGGCCAGGCAAGATTCTGAATGTCTTAGAAAGCCCTACCTTCTAGGAAGGGAGCAGAGAAAAACATATAGCTCAATAAAAACAATTAAAAAAAAAAAGAAAAAAGCCACCTTCTAATCTTTTGGGTCAGTGGGAATAGAGGTTTGGGTTTGGGTTGAGAGGGACTCACCCTCTCACTGGCAGGACTCTGATAAAGGAAGAAGAAGAAGGCTAGAGGAGAGGGTGGGGGGAGGTGCCTACTCCTGGATGTGCTCCTCTGTCCCTGACACTCTGCTGGAATGCCTTTGTGTGCACAAGTGAGGCCTTTAGGGAGCACGCTGAACGCTGAACGAGGAAGGGGCCCCAGGGTTATGTTGACACGTTTCATGCTTCTCCAAGGCACAGCCCATCCAGAAACTCAGAAACTCTCTCTTCCTGCCCCCCTCCCTGGAGACATTGCCATATCTTGGCAGCAGTCCCTAAAGGAGTCCCTGCCATCACCCATCTGCCACAGGACTGGCCGCCGAGAGTCCTTTTTAAAGCCTGATCTGTGCTTGATCCTCAGCTGGCTCCTTTTCGTCTCTAACACACAGATGTCTTCGTCAGAGATGCCCATGCGCTTCCCTGTCTGATTCCAGCCAGTCCTCCCTCCCTAATGATGTCCCTGGATCCAAATTTACCCTCAGATACTATGAAATACGGCGTATAATAGCAACAGCTGCTAACAGTGCTTCGCAGCGAGGAACTCTATGTCAAGCACTTAGCATGCAGCCTCTTACCTAATCCCTAAGCAGAATAATGTGGTTTACCGCTACTGTCTACAAATTTACGGAGGAAAAAGCTAGTAAGTCGATTTTCTTCCTCAGACCACCCTGGGGTGCTGTGTAAGACACACCCTGAGCAAGGGCAGGGACGGAGAGATGGGGCCAGTAAGGGCCAAGCTGGAAGGAAGACTCCAATGACCCAAGAGCCCTGTCTGTCCAGCCAGGATGCAAATGAATCAGAGATTGAACAGAGCCATTATTTGGGTGCCCAGGGATTACTGTCTCCAGCCACAGGCTTCAGAGTCCAAAGCCAGGCTTCAGAGTCCACAGGTCCTGCAAGGCAGTGGAAAGTATGTGGCTGAGAATAATGACGTTTGGCCCCAGTTCCCTCCAAGCGAAGCGGAAGGAAAGCTACCGGGGCAGCGTTATGTGCTCCAGACTGGATCCTTTACAGCCCTCATTAGCCCACAGGACTCGTGCCACCTGGACACATGGGCAGTGATGAGCCAAGAAGTGGCCTGAGGTTTAATCCAAGCCCATGGGCCAGCCCCCTCCTGCCTCTTCCCCCAGCAGGAGGCCCCTGGCATCCAGCGTGGCTACATCATGCCCAGAAGGAAAGTTACAGCTGTCCTCATCCACCGCAGACACGGCTGACATAATTCCATTCACAGATTTTCCATTGACTATCAGCAGTTGCATGAGCTTATGGATGGGAGCTGTGACCCCTAGCATGGTACTATAGAGAGAGAAGAGCTGCCTGGGAAGCTTGGCAGCTGCCCTGAGAAGGGACATGCACAGGGCCTGAGGCCACAAACTGCCAAACTGCCCAAACTCTTGCATTGATGTAGGACAAGATATGGCCCATTGGCAGATCTGTGAGCTTCAGGATGGGGATAGAGAGCCCTAGGGTTGGCCTTAGCTATCACTGTCTTCATTGCTCTCCCAGTTCAGTTCATACATGTATTTCTACGATGCCTGCATATATGCATAGTGGTACATGTATATGCGTGTGTGGTATGCATATCTCTCTGTGCTTCTATGTACCCATGAATTTGAATCTGTCTTTGTGTATTAGGGAATGAGTACTGTGTCTATGCATGTGTGTAGAAGACATGTATATGGTGGTCAGCCTGTGTGTGTGCCATGTGGGTCTTTGCTCACATATGTTCATGGTGGTATATGATGGCCCATGTGTGTCTTTGTATGTGTGGAATGTGCATCTGAGGCATGGAGGGGGAGAAATGGATTCAATCCCTACAACACTTAAGGAGAGGAAGCAGACAGAATGGGCTTTGCTCTCCTTCTTCTGAGGTAAAACATCTTGTTGACAGGGGTTTCTGTCCTGCCGGATCCCACAGCTGTTCAACCCCAATAAAACACACTGAGATCTATATTCGTTACACACTGGCTGGTCTATTAGCTCAGGCTTCTTATTAACTCTAACATCCTAAAGTAGCCCATAATTTTTGACTGTGTTAGCCATGTGGCTTGGTACCTTTTATCAGTGGGACATTCTCATCTTGCTTCCTCTCTGTGTGGCTTCCTCTGTGACGACGGCAGACTGACTTTTTCCTCTTCTCAGAATTCTCCTGTTCTCCTTGCCCCACCTCTACTTTCTGCCTGGCCACCCTGCCTATATGTCCTGCATGGCTACTGGCCAATCAGCGTTTTATTAAAACAATACAATACAAGTGACAGGGTACAAGACCATTGTCCCATAGCAACACCTATCTTTACCTGTACAAACAAGTCCTTCTTCTGGGTGGTACTGGGGTGGTTTGAAAGAGAAAGGCCTCACAGGCTCATGTTTGGGTACTTGGTCCTCTGTTGGTGGAAGCAGCTGGGAAGGATTAGGGAAAATGGCCACCTTGGAGGAGGCGTGTCACTGGGGGCAGGTTCTGAGGTTTCAAAAGACTCTTGCCCTTCCCATTGAGCCTCCTGCTGGTGGATCAAGGTGTGAGTTGATTCTGCTCTCAGTTGTCCCTGCTGTCACACCGCAGCTCTGCCACCATAGACTAAGCCTCTGAAACCATGAGCCAAACTAAGTGCTTTCTTTTCAAAGGTGCCTTGGTATGGTGCTTTGTCGGAGTAATTCAGGAGGAACTAAGATGGGAACTGTCCATTTCGTTCACTCGTTTGCTTTTTCACTCAACAAAATACAGGCCGTTGTTCATGGGCCTTGCCAGACTTCTGCGCACCTCTGTGCCCCGTTTCTTCTTTCCCGGCAACTACTGTGGAAAGCCACAGCTGGTCAAGTGTCGGTCAGCTGCCCTTAAGGCTCTGTCAACAGAACCTTACGTCTATTCCCTTCTTCAGCTACCACACCACCTACAGGACGGCTAATGGTACAGCCCTGCTTATAGGTAAACACATGAGGAAACTTGGTGAGGTTGGGTAACTTGTTCAAGTTCACAGACTTATTAATAAGCAGGCCAAAATGAAAAGAGAACTGTCTCTAAGGCAGGTTCCATGCAGTGACCACTCGCCCTTGCGGGGTCTCTGCTTTCACGCCACTTTCTTGCCCAATATTGACGTGACTCTAATGTAGAGGATCCTCTGACTCTGACTTCTGGGTGATCCCCTCAGGGCTGCCTGGCACTGCGCATGTTAGAAGTTCAAGATGGTCCCCAGCAGGACTGTGAGTCAGAGGTCAGTGGACGTGAGGGGTGAGCTGCTCTTGTCCTCGGGCCAGTAGGAAGCGGCAGGCCAGCTTTGGTGGCATGTACTCAGGGCTCGTGCAAGCTCAGCAACACTCCAGGTCCTGGGAGACCTCAGGCTTAGGAAGCACATGCCTACAAGCACCGCCTCCCCCATCTCACTGCTGTGGAATCCCTCAATGACCACAAGTGCTTGGATTTCCTTTTTCCCAGAACTTGGGTTCCCAAAGAGATTTGTTTGAAATACCAAAGTAAGCAGACTTTTTTTTTTAATGTAGGCTTGTTAAAGTTTTGTTGCATGTACTTGTGTGTATGAACATGTGTGTGAATGACAGTGAATGCCACAGCACAACTGTAGAGGACAGAGGATAGTCCTAAGGACTGAGCTCAGGTCGCCAACCTTTGGGGCAAGCCACTTTGCCACTGAGCCATCTCGATGATCCAGGTTTGTACATTAAAATGAAGCCCTGGAACCCAGAAGCCCATCAATCACCTGAAATGTCTTCAATTCTAACTAATGTTTATCTGAATGCTGGTCCTCTTGCCAAAAACAATTATGTCCCAGTACTCCAAATGAACTGTCCTTCCAGGGTCCTGCCCTTGTCCCACACAGAACGATTCTCCTACCTCTTAGGGAGGCCCCGTGAGTGACCAACAGGCACTCTCAGGAGAGGAAACCCAGATACAATGAGCTCAGGGACCTGCCATGCTGTAGCTGCTGGGCTTGTGGAAGGAGAGTAAATGCTAGGAAGGGGACGCCCAGGCTCATGCCACAAGGCTATTTAACAAACACAGCATCTGTTGGTGACTTGTAAATTGTGGAATATGGCAGTCTGGGATCTCTGCCTATGAGGAATCATCCATTTTGAAAGGCTGGTTAGAAATTGCCTCAGGGTACGATGCGAGGAGAGACACAGTGAGGTGACA